GGGAGGAGTAGGGAGAAGTCAAGAAATTTCTTTTTAAAATTCAATCGAATTAATGTATAGTCGTATACATTATACCATACTGATCACGAATATTGCAATTAGAACTTATAAAAATGCATCCTTGTTAAATGACAGTTAAAATAAAAACCCGGTCTCGGGCGCCATTTTTCTCGATTTTGTTCTCTCAGTTAGTCCAGATAAGGCCGCAGGTCGGCTGAATGTTTCTACTTCTAGGTAATTTACTACGCTCTATCTGATTTTAAAAGTTTCAGGGCGATCGGATGCTATATCGATCTGCTAATTCTGAATCACCTAGCCGATTAGCCGTTCCCTATGTGGTCGATGGTCAAAGATATTTCTACACGAAATTTCGGTTTAAGAACCATATCATCGGAAAGAGGATCACTTAATGTATCTTCAGTAAAAATATCTTTTTTGTTCGCCACTTCTAAGTATACGTTTGGTCAACAACAATTTCGAGAGTAATTAACCGTGGGCAATCGGGGCGGTGATCTGCGTTTAATCGATTGAGATTGCGTTTCATCGGTCTAATTCTTTCGAAATCAGATAGAACACAGTGAATTACGTATGATTAGACATTTCAATCCATCCTAGGTCCTATCGCTGTCAACTGAGAGAACAAAATTGAGAAAAATAGGGTTCACGATTGTTTTTTTGTTTTGGCTGTCATTTGACAGTGAGGCATTATTGAACGTTCTAATTACGATATTTGTGATCAGCATGGCCTATTGTGTAGGACTAGGCATTATTTTGGTCGAATTGGAAAGAAAAATTTTTTCCACTTTCCTCTACTCCACCTCAGGGGCAATACTTTTTGAAAAAAGTTTTTTTTCGATTTTCAATATTTCTAAAACGCTATTCCACTCAGAATTTGATGCTGATTCCGAATATGTATGTCTTAGCTCGTAGTTTTTTGGGCCGAAAACATGCCTTAATGCCACTCCTCCTTTGTCGAACATTTGATGAAATTCCATGATCCATTGGAATAAGTACACCATCATTTGTATAATAATATTCTATATAATAAAAACTCATATTTTTATTTTAAAATATATTTATCAAAATAAATCTAACCTTTTGGATCTGGCATTGTTGATCCGCAACCTTTAGTTGAATGTGTACCAGCTGGTAAAGTTGATGCAGATAAATTCGTTGCTTTATAACATTCATACATTTTTCCAAGTGCTACTTCACATAAAAGCATTAATCCGTCAGATGATTGTTTTGTTGTAAAATAGTAGTTTGCTAAATTAATGCTTTTCAAATAATTCTTCATAAATAAAACAAATAATTTATCACTTTTGGAAACCATATCACCAAAATAAACATCTTTACCTAACATATAACCCGTCAGAAAAATATTACTTTTGAAAAAAAAATCTTATTAATTTCAAAGAAGAAGAATAAAAAACTTACAACTAGTGCTTCAGGTGGAGCAACACGTAAACCTTGACTAAGAATACCAGCAAAATTAGTTGTTCTTGATCCATGCCATTCGTAATTTTAATGTATATTGACCATGAGTTTTAGCATGAGTATGTATCATATATTTTTCAATAAGTTTAAATTCTTCTGAATCATGATCAACTGGTTCAAGACCATATTTTAATTTTTTATAATGAACATCTATTGAATGTTCACTACTTTCTATTGTATTATTTGATTCATTTAACATTGAATAAGCTATTTCGATTTCAGGTATATTATTAATCATTTCCGTTTTAGTTTTGATTAATTCAACATTATCAAGTAATGGTGGTTTAGCCAGACCAATAACATGTGGAATTACTAAAAGTAAATTCAAATAAACATTTGCAACAGTTGTTTATAGTCGTGAACATTCGATTCGAAGGTGAAAATTCAATTATTTTCGTTTAGTTAATAAAAGAAGAAGCTATTATAGTCAGAGTAATGACTGTAACCATAAGTCACGTCAATCTCTAATTTGAACACATTGAAAAAGAAATGTTAGGCAAACTGAAATACTCAAATAGATTTTCGAAAAGTTTCGACGACGTCTAACAATATCTAAATGCAAAGCTGGACCTTGAAATGCTTGTGTGACGATGTACAAATCTCTAGAAATACTTGGACAATTATCTAAATATTTGAAACTATCTAAAGTATACTAGTCATTCTAAACCCCAAGTTTAAATTGATTCACTCAAAATCTCAGATTCACAATGAGACAAATTTCTATAATCATTTAGATCGCTACAACAATTAACAATAGTCTTCATTCGAAATTAATCTTGTGTTTGAATATTCTTGCTAGAAAGAAATTCTGATCATATATTAACAGACGATTAGAGAGTCCTTGTCTATGAAGCAGAAAAAAACTTGATACCGAACTTTAGATAGTTTTTATAAAACATAATGATAGAACGTTCGATGAAAATTCTACTGAATAGTTTTCATAGGTGAGATAACTAATGATATAGTATTCTGGCAAAATGACAATCAACAATCTCATCTTTATAATCCTATTTCGTTCAGACTGTATCTTTAGATAGAATTCCTTAAATAAAGGATATGTAAGTGTTCTCATTAATATCGATCTGGACTTCACAATATTTGTAATCTAGATTCTTATAATGAATGACTTCGAAAAAAAACGATAATGAATCGATGGATATATATTTTCATACTCACCAGTATAAAATTGATTGTTAGCATCAATAATCGCTGGTTTTTATGCTATAGCACCACTTGTAATCAATGTTTGTAATTCTATTAAAACTTTATATGCTTTATCTAATTGATTTTTTTGATAATTTTCCTAATGGCATTTTAGTTAAATCAATTTCAAATAATAATAAAGCTTGTTTCATAGTTTCAACATTAAAAATTATTTTAACAAGATCTTCAACTGCATTTGGTAATTTTGATTGAACGTTTAAATTGATACTTTCAAGTAATTTTTGCATTTTATCATTATCAGCATGTTGTTCACAATCAATTTCAAGTGGATAATGTTTATTTGGTAATTTTTGAAAATTTCCTCTATCACTCTATTCATTACCTTTTTTATCAACAAATAATGTATGAAATGCATTTATTGTATCTGTTTTTCGACTATATTCATCAATTTTATTTCCACCATAAATTGTACCTGTTCGACCCGTAGACAAGAAAAAAGAAATAAATGAAAATATAATTCTCAGAAAAATCAATGAAATAAACTTATCATGCTCTAAAGATAAACCATTGTCGACCATTAGCAGATTCGAGTAATTGTAATTTATAATATGAATTCGTTCCACGTGTCATATTCACAAGACCAAGAACAGCAGTAAATATTCCATTAGTTTCTGTATCTTTCAGTGCATGACAATTATCTTCTAATCCTTTAAAAATCGACAAAAATAATGATAGAATTGGTTTTTGTTTTTAAAAATATCTTAAACCCGAATCAGGATCAACAGTAGTTCCGTCTTTTTATTTCATGTTCATTTTATCTGGTACAATTTTTTTTAATCGAGCCACAAAGAAAGAAAAAAACTCAATAGAGATTTGAAGTGATTGATAAGAAATTTACAATGAGATTTGGCTGATACTGCTGTTAATGACAGGTGGTCGGATTTCATTTTTGGTGTTTCATCTGTTGTTGGTTGTTGTCGAATATGTGGTAAAATTCCTATGTAGAAATTTTACATTTTTCCATTATTACTGATTGACGATCATTTGTTATTTCTTTTAAAAATTCTGCTGAGACAATATGAATATTGAATGATTGAGCATCTTGAAATTTTTTATTCGTTTTTTTTGTATTTCATCTTTCAAGACAATAAAGATCATATAGAACAAATATTACGTAAAATATAACATACCTTGAGAACTAATTACAATTCCAACAGTATCATCTATTTTCGATGAACATGTCCCATCTAAACGTTTAACTTCTTTTTTGTATAGTTGCAACAGAACTTCATAAATGACCAGCTGATGATACAATATAACCAAAAAGTGGTAAATTTGAATCATCGGTTGGTCTAAAGAAATAACAACTCTCTTTCATGATTATTCGATACGAAAACAAAAGTCAGAGAAAGATTCGATGCACTCACTGAAAATACTTTTAAATAGGTTACGAATATTTGAGACTTTCATCGGAATGCCGCACTTCTGTTGTCCTTAGAGTAATAATAACGATGTGTAGAAAGATTCAACTCAGTGTTTTCGTTGACTCAGATGTGATCAGTACTGGAACATAGATTGGCGTCAAAGTGAAGAGATCGATACAGAGTTGGAACCGGTCCGGCCGGACCGCACAAGAAGTTAAACCGGGCCGAACAGGACCGGATTTTTGCCAGTTCATCATTACAAAATTGTTGTTTGCATCCAAGAATTTGCTCTACTGAAAAGTGTTTTTATGAAATTTTCAAGTCAGAAGAATATGTTTGCGAAAGATTCAATAGATATCTTGTCTTTAACTTGATTATAAACGATTGATTGTTCTATTTATAGTTCTATCGATTTCTTTCTCGTGTATCGCTCAATTTAACCTATATCAAATAATTTATGTTCTTGTTCTACTTAGGCAGCTGCCTGAATCAAGAAAAATAAATATTTACAATTTTGTGTTAGATTTGTTATAAACTTGCTTTTTTTCCTGTTTTGAAATTACGATGAAAGAATAAATTTGATCTAAATAGCTAATTTATATCGACATCGGACTCAAAAGGTTAACGCACCTTGCTATAAAATGTGATGGTGAAAGTTTCATTGCACAGTTTCAGTTTCCAGTTCGAATTAGGAGCGACGATTTCCTGTTAATTTATTTTAAATTTAAATTTTTATGAATTTAAATTTAAAATAAATTAAAATTTTTCAGATGTGAAAATTTAAATTTATTTGAAATGTAAATTTTCAAAAGTTAAATTTATTTAAAATTTAAATTGGATTTACATAAATGTTAAATTCAATTTCAATCAATATAAATCCAATTTAAACGAAATAAAATTCAATTTAAATTCATTTAATTTGATTTAAATCCCATATGAATTAATGTGAATGGATTGAAATTCAATAAAATAAATTTAAATTGAATTTTATTTGGTTTAAATTGAATTTATATTGATTTAAACTGGATTTGAATAAATTTAAAAAA